CTCGGGAGGCTGAGGCAGGAGAATGGCGTAAACCCAGGAGGCGGAGCTTGCAGTGAGCTGAGATCTGGCCACTGCACTCCAGCCTGGAAGACAGAGCGAGACTCCGTCCCAAAAAAAAAAAAAAGAAAGAAAAAGAAAAATCACTGGGCTACAGGTGAGAGATGAGGGACATGTCAAGAGTATGTGAACGTAAATCTTATTCAGTCAAAAATATTCCTCTGTGGGACTTCTGGAAAGCTGCAGTCTTATTGGCCTGAGGAATCAGAGGTAGGAATTCAGTGCTGCCAGAGTGAAAAGTGATGGGGCAAGTCACGGCAAAGAGGAAACCCAGAGGGGAGGAGGCCCCAAATCTCTTATAAACTCCACCCAAACCTCTGACTAATCATGAGCTATGCCTGTGTTGTGACCTCTGGGGGCCCAGCACAAAACAACAGGTGCAAGTCTTAGCATCACAGTGGAAATAGAGTTTGGAGTTTGAGTCCAGCCAAGTTAACCAGCTGTTACAACCAAATTCAAGTGTTTAGGAAGAAGATAACAATTTGTCATCCAAAATGTCCTGTATAAGATATAAAATTACTAGTCATGTGAAGAAATTAGGAAGTGTGACCTAACATCGAGACAGAAAGGAATCAATAGAAACCAACCCAAAGATGACCAGAAGTTGGAATTGGTAGACAAGAACTTTAAAGCAGTTATTATAAATATATTCCAAGAGGAAAATGTAATCACAATGAAGAGATAGGAGGAATCTCAACAGAGAAATGGAAACTAAAAAAAGAACCAAATGGAAATTCTAGAACTAAAGCAGACAAGCTATTGAAACTGGCACAGGGAGAAACAGAAAGTCTGAAGTGCCTGTATCTGTTAAAGGAATTGAATTTGCAATTATAATCCTTTCCACAAAGAAAACTCTAGGCCCAGAAGACTTCACTTTTAAATTCTATCAAATAACATAAGAAAGAATACCAACCTTATACAAGCTCTTCTAAGAGAAAAGGACTAGAGAACACTTTCCATCTCATGAGTTCAGCATTAACCTATTACCAAAACTAGGCAAAGGCATTGCAAGAAAAGAAATTATAAACCAACATCCCTTGTGAAGTTATATGTGTATCTTAACGAACTATTAGCAAACATATCCTGCAATATATTTTAGAAATAATATATGACATCTAAGTAGAGTTTAGCTCAGCCACACAAGGTTGGTTTCACATTCAGCAACCAATCAACGTAATTCACCATATTAAGAGAACGAAAGAAAAATCGTGTCACCTTCATCTTACTAGATTTAAAAAACATTTGACAAAAGTCAACATCTATTCATGATAAAACCTACCAACAAACTAAGAATAGAAAGGAATTTACTTTCTTCACCTAATAGCAGCCATGAATATATGCCACTAATATCCATAGGTAATGTTCCCTTACAAGCTTTATCCCTACATCAAGAAAAAGGTGAGGATGTCCATTCTTCAACACTTTTATTCAACATCATACTGAAGATCCTAGTCGGTGCAATAAAGGCAAAGGGAAAAAAAGGAAAGAAGGCAGAAAGGAAGAAAGATGGAAAAACAAAATGCATAGATGTTTAAAAGGAGGAAATAAAGTTGTCCTTTTTTTAGAAATGATATGATTATGTACATAGAACCTCCTAAGAAATCTATTAAAAAGCTACTAGAACCAATAAGTGAGTTTAGCAAATCAAATGTGCAAAAATCAACTTTATTTCTATATGCTAGCAATGAACAGTTGGAAAGTGAGATAAAAAAACCAGTTTCATTTACAATATGGAAAATGCAAAGAGTTTAAAATAACAAAGTGTTGGAGGGCAATAGCAACTGGAACTCTCCTACATTGCTGGTAATAATATAAAAATACTACAAGCACTTTGAAAAACAATGTGGCAAACTTTGATGAAGGTAGCATACCCATATCATTCCACCAAACAATTTCACTCCTGGGTACTTTCCCAAGAGAAAATACATGTCCACACAAAGACTTTTACACAAATGCTCGTAAGAACCGAAGTCTGAAAATTCAAATGTCCATCAACAGGTGAGTGGATAAGGAAATTGAAGTATAACCAAATAATGATCTCTTAGATATAAAACAAACATATGCAAAACAATCTGGATGAATTTTGAAAGCATTATGCTGAGTGAAAAAAATCCAGGCACAAATAAAAGTACACATTCTATATTTCTATTTGTATAAAATTCTAGAAAAGAAAAAATCAAATCTATAGTGACAGAAAGGAACCCATCAGTGGTTGCTTGGGACTAGGACAGGGGGACATTCCCTGCAAGAGTATGCAAGGAAATGTTTAGGGCAGATGGAATGTTTTATACCCCAATGTGATAAGGGTTACATTAACACATGAATTGTATTAATAGTTGTATGTAAATTATACCTTCATAAAGCATGTTAAAGAAAAAGCAATACACTATTATTTTGCCAAATGACTAGTTCAAGCAATAAAATCTGTAGTTTCTTAAGGTAGGCTTCACAAAATAGGTGAAATTGTAATGGTCCTTTAAGGAGAGGGAGGATATAAATATGCTTTAAAAACCAACAGAAAGAACTGAAGGCACAGAAAAAGTCAATAGAGACATGGATGCTTAAAAAGCAAAGGATGAGTGAGAAGGGGGGTGGCATCATTAGACTGAAGATTTACAAGGGAGTTCTGAAAGATTCAGACCGACAAGCAGAATGTTGCCAGAACAAGAGGAATGGCCTTTAACCTTTGGGCACCGAATGAACTTCCCAGATTTGGAGGCAGGAAAGTATGTCAGGCAAATGAATCTGAAGGATAGTGCAGGAAGAATTGGAATGGATTAAATTTGTTGGAGGTGACATGCCTTTGCAATAGTCCTGGCTTGAGCCGGTAAAAGATTGACCTAGAGTGAGGAAAGGCAAAAAAAAAAAAAAAAAAGGATTTGATAGAAAAGGAAGAATTGACTGGACATGGTGGTTACTTTATGGATTTGTGAACAAGGAAAGAGTAAACAATGAGTTTTCAAGCGTGAGTAACAAGAACTGGCAGTACTATTAGTAGACATAAGAAGGAGCCAGTCTGGGGAGAAAGGTGCTGACTTCAATGTTAGAAATGAGTTGCCTGAGAAACCTACCCTGACCCTACGCTTACCTTCTCTGAAGACTGGATGAAATGTCACTGCAGACTACCAGAGCATGTCATGTATAGCCCATCACGGCATTTATCACCTTGTGTTGTAAGAGACTGTTTACTAATCTCCCCCACTGGACTCTGCACAACCCGAAGGTAAAGACAGTAGTTAACTGTGCCAAGCACTGTTCTAAGGGTTTAAGGGGTTTCCAGATGTTCTTCCTACATAGTAAGTGTTTACGAGTATTTGCTAAATGAATACTGAATGTTGAGTTTCAGAAGATAATGAAACAGGAAAGCAGATGTGTTTCTCAGGCAATTAGAGTAGTTAGCCATAGAGATGCAGCCTTCAAAGACATTTACATGAAAGTGATCCTTGAAACCATCATGTAGGATCCCCTAAAGGAGAATTTTTAAACCTCCTGTGGCACTTAAAGTCTTCATTATTTACCTGGCAAAACTGATCTGAAAATGAGAAGCAGGAGAGACTAAGAAAATGCACCCAAGCCTGTCTTATCCATTAATTGAATTAACTTCTGAATATTCAAGAGTTGGCTCTGTAGATAATATGCTAAAAAAAAAAAAAAAGAAAAAAAGAAAAAAAGAAAAAAAACTGTCTAGCACTTGCTTCTTGCATCTTCCCTTTGTGTACCAAGAATCATGATCGGTGACATTTAGGAAAGTGGGAGAAAAAAATTCTTGGGACATGGCAACAGCCTGGATGCTTCCTTCACCCTGGCTGAATACTGAAGTTCCAATCTAGGCTCCAAGACACTTATCAGCTATAGTGTACTTAGATAAATTACATTATCTCTCTGGGCCTGAGTCTACTCCCATGCAAAATTGTGATTTTAGTACCTACATCATATTTCTGTTGAGAGGATTAAACGAGTTACAATATGAAAAACCTTAGAACACTGCTGGGCACATGGTAAGTGTTCCACAACTCTTAGCTAGAGGCAGGAAAGGATATTGACTAAGAAGATGGACTTTGTAACCCACTACCTAGGTTTCCATTCTAGTTCTGCCAATTGCTAGGCAGGTTACTTTGCCTTTCTGGGCTGTTCCCTCATCTGTAAAGTAGGGATGTTTTTAGTTCCTCGATCATAGGTTTGTTGTGAGAATTAAATATATGCTAACCACTTAGAACAGCGCCTGACACATTGTAAACATTATGTTAAATATGACATATAACCCATCAACCCCTTGCCCATATATCTTGATTCTGAGGCCAGCCTTCAGTTATGTCCAGTCTCTTTAGTGGTCTCTCATTTTAGTGAATAGTTAGTACACTGGATGTTTTCTAAGTTCATTTCACAGAGACACTAGATGGAGTTGCTGAGCTAAAGCACCTAAGAACTGCTGGGCAGCCGAATTGGAATTTTGGAGCTGAATGGAACTTTAGGGATGATCTAGTTCACACTTTTTATTTTGTAGATGAAGAAACTGAAGATCAGAGAAGTTATCTGGTATAATCCCTGCCTGCAAAACGAAGCTGGATGTGCTTGCAACTCTTACTTAGTGAAATTGTCTAGAACCATTTGATCAAACTCAAACGATCCTGTAAGCTCCACAGGGGCATGCTGCTGCTGTTGTTCGCGGACTACTCTGTCTACAATGCCTAGCATGTCATTCGGTTAATATTTGTTGAAGAATTATAGGGATCTATCATGTTTTTAAAGCTTTAGAGATTGAAAATCGTCCTCGGTACTTGTTCCAATGCTTTCTGAAGGGGATTCCTCCTAATGTAGACTTATTCCTTTCATATATATGTCAGTCCTTTTCTTCTTTTTCTAGATTCCCAGAAGGTGTTATAGCTAGAAAAATCTTCCAGTTAAAATGACTCATTTTGTCAATGAGAAAATTAACTGAGGCAATTTGTCCATACTCACATAACTGATTAGTGGCAGAACTGAGATTAGAATTTTCTCTAGCTTGTCATCTAAAAAACCAAAAAACGCAAACCGCTTCAAGAAACTGTCAAACTTCTTCCACCTGCCCTTTAAATGTTCCCTAACTTTGTCTCCAGATCATAGTCTCCAGCTTATTATCAAATTATCAATTTGATTGCTTCCCTCTTGGAGCAGGCTTACTATTTCCATCCTTCCTTTTCCTGACCCCAGTTCAAATAACTAGCCTGCTCTATCATTGCTGCCCATCCACCTGCCCTTTGTACCTCCTGGCTCTTAATCCCTGTCTTTGAGAAGAAAAGGTAGATCCTCTTTCTCACCTGAACCAGCAAGGATGGGTTTGCAGATATTCCTCCCTGATTAGTGTCAGAACAGAAGGATCCCAGACGTCTAGAACACTTCCAGGATTGTTCCAAGATGGTGTTTGCAGTTCTGATCAGAGTCCCAAAAGTTATGTTGGGCTCTCAGATAACATAACCCAGGGAAATCCCCAAACAGAAGGTTCCCTAGCTGGACTAAATGACATTCACAGACTGGTTTGCTAACAACACCCAGGAAATGCAGAGTTTCTACAGTCAAAGACTGTATCCCTGATATCTCAATCCTTTTCTACAGTTCCATGTATCTATTGGTTTATTTCTTTACTAACCTTACTACCTAGTTGCAGTAGATTGTAAAAACAGCCAAAAATTCTTCCACTCCCATCAAGAGGTAAAATCGATTTCTCCACTTCTTGACTTTGGTTTAGTCATGTGACTTACTTTTGCCAATAGGACATTAGCAAAGGTAATATAAACTGAGGCTTTAAAAGTGGCTTGTCCTCTTGCTGTGTTTGGAACTCTAGGTCTACCATGTGACTGAGTTCAAGCTAGCCCACTGTGGATGAGACTCCATGTGGAGAAGCAGCTGGTCCCTTGCAAAGAGCCCTCCGACTGTCAGACACATGAGGGAAGTCATTCTAGATCATCTGACTGCCTCCAACATGCCAGCTGGCCAGAGAAGGATGAGAAAGTCCAGCAAATCCGCCAAGCATGCCCAGACAGAAGAGCTGCCCAGTCAACCCATGCAACTGTGAGATGAATTAATGGTTGTGTTTTAGGCCATTAAATTGTAGGGCTGTTTGTCATGCAGCAAGCACTACCTGATACACTAGTGGTAAAGACTCCCTAAGGAAAAGGCAATCACTATCTTCCTGTTCCCTCCTCACCATGACCCTCTGTTTTTTATTCTTGTATAACAGCTTTAGTTAGTATTTTGACCGTATACGATGTTTTAGTTCAGTGAGGAGATAGCAGAGCATAATTGTTACACAAAATTATGTCAACTGAATGTGTAGACTTACCTCATCTTGGCAATCCATTTTTAAAAGTTATGTCAAGTTGGCCGGGCACAGTGGCTAACACCTGTAATCCTAACACCTTGGGAAGCCAAGGTGGGTGGATCACTTGAGGTCAGGAATTCAAGACCAGCCTGACCAAGATGGTGAAACCCTGTCTCTACTAAAAATACAAAAATGAGCTGGGCTTGGTGGAGGGCACCTGTAATCCCAGGTACTTTTGAGGCTGAGGCAGATAATTGCCTCAGGAGAACCCAGGAGGCGGAGGTTGCAGTGAGCCGAGATCGCGCCACGGCACTCCAGCCTAGGTGACAGACTGAGACTCCGTCTCAGAAAAAAAGTTATGTCAAGTTTATAAGACATTTTGAGCCAGAGTCGGTTCTCTCACATGTCTTAGAATCTCTTGGAGAAAAGGTCCTCTTTCTCTCTAGGGTCTCCATGGCTGAAGATGCAAATCACTCTCCTCGGTGGATATGAGAGCTTTCTGAGATGCTGCCTATGGAACTTCTCTGGTCTCAACTTCCTCTCTTTTAAAAATGTCAGCAATTTTTCCTTCTTGACAATTACCTCATCCTTTTAGAACACATACTTTTGGAAACCCTAAAGTGTATCATAACTTTATCTTCGACATCATCTCAAGCTTCTAAACCCAGTCCCAGAAATGGACCCTTTGGAAAGTTACTTCCCGAGCACTTATTCCCTAGGCTCATCTCTTAGCATCAATATGAATGTTTTTTCAGTCATTCAACAAACCAGAGATAAAACTAAGCATGGCAGAATCCATCTCTGCCCTCAAATATCTTATAGCATATCTTTCTTAAAACAAGTTGCAATCATTTTTTAGTTACAATTTGATTCCCGGTGGGGAAGAAATTGAGATGATGACCTTGAAAGGGTTAAGAATTACCTACTGCTGGCCGGGCGCAGTGGCTCACACCTGTAATCCCAACACTCTGGGAGGCCAAGGTGGGAAAATCACCTGAGGTCAAGAGTTTGAGACCAACCTGACCAACATGGAGAAACAGTCTCCACTAAAAATACAAAATTAGCCAGGCATGGTGGCACATGCCTGTAATTCCAGCTACTCAGGAGGCCGAGGCAGGAGAATTGCTTGAACCCGGGAGGTGGAGGTTTCAGTGAGCCGAGATTACACGCCATTGTGCTCCCGCCTGGGCAACAGGAGCAAAACTCCATCTCAAAAAAAAAAAAAAAAAAAATTACCTACTGCTTATACCAAATGGTCCTGTCTTGAACTGTATCACTCTTTGGGATTGATACAACTTCACATGAACCTCAAGTGTCACAAAAAAGTGGTAACCAACTATAGTGCATTTGCTCATGTTTCTAAAAATGGTAAACCACAGTTGAGCTAGTGTGATACTGCAGCAGAATTTTTATGACAAAGTGTGGGCTGCTCTGCAGCAATCCCTCCCAATTCAATTTGCTGATGACTCATCCATTCCAATCTTCATGTTTATAAATCGATGGAGAAAACCATGCTCTATATCTTTTATTCTGCATCGGTCTTTGCTGTTGGAATCCTCTTAGCTCAGTACAGAAAAAGAATTTTGCTTGGACACACTCCAAACTTAAATTGTCCTCTGGATTTTGTACCAAACTGAAAGAAACCAAAGAAAACCTCTCAGTTTCCTGAAGCTCGGAGTGTCAGAAATAAAAGGGTCTGGATGTAGGGGCTAGTGAGCAAATAGGAAACTTTCACTAAATAATTTTTTTTTTTTTAGCTTTAGCTCATGATTTTAATTTTAATATTTTTCTGTTAATAAAATCAGTAATAAACTCAGTGTGGGAAATTGATTTTAAAAAAACAAACACATACAAATAAGCAAATAAAAATCACCTGTTAATTTAGCACTCAATTGCAAAGAAGAGAAACCCATTCTCATTAGCTCAAGGCAAAAAGGGAGAATATTGAAAGCATAACACAGACAAGGGTATTACAGTTTAATATTTACAACCTCTCCCCATTGCCTGCTTTTTAAGAAGGATTTGTGCCTGTGTGGGTGGGCTCCTGCATGTGTGTGCTGCTTAGCTCCTGGGCCTGTATTGTGCTGACAGTAATCGCTGATAAAGCAGCAGACCTGTAGTAGCCTCCTCTGCTTGCACACAGCCTAAAATGCCCACCAGCCCTACTTCAATATATGTACATCCCACAGCTCTCTAGCCCTAGTTTCTGGGGTTAGCAGTAAAGTGTTTGACAGACACTCACTAGTAGGTTCACCTTGGGTCACATGTCCATACAGCCAACCGCCTACCACTGAAAGGGTGGGATCATTTGGTTTAAATATGTCAGCCTAAGAGCTCCTTCCAGAAGAGGATATTATGAAGAGGGGAGGCTTCGAGTGGGATAGATTATTTTAGAAGATTAGGCAGGGAAGAAGTGAATGATATCCTAGAACAAATATAATACTATCCAGAAATCATCACTGTTAACATGTCAGTGTGTTTCCTTAGTTGATATGCTGTTTGTAGAAGTACATATGCATTATATAGTTGATAAATGATACATGTAGCTCTGTGACCTGAGTTTTTCACGTATTACAATAATTTATCATAAACATTTCTTCTCATCATTAAATTTTTTTCTCCAATTACTTTAATAACACTCCACTGTAGAGATATTATAACTGATAAACTATTGCATATTCATGTGATTTCCAAGTATCTATCATTTTACGTAAAGCTGCCATAGACATCCCTGTACCTTCATCTTCGTGCATATTTCTGATTATTTTCTTAGAGGTACCTAGAAGTGGAATCAATGCCTAGAAATATTTATTTACCGCCAATTTGTTTTCTAAAATGTTTATACCAATCTGTACTCCCAGTGACAATGATTAGATGAGGTCATCTCATCTTAGCATCAGCCCTTACCTATTTAGAAAAACAAAACAAAGCATGAAACTGAAGCGTGTCACTGTATATAGTTTTTGCCTCTCCTTGTGTTTTATTCGATTCGGCATTTGGGTTGACCCAAGTTTAAAAAAAGTTTAAAGCTGAGATTCTTACTGTCCCCAGACCAGCTGCATCAGCATCACCCGGGAACTTGTTAGAAATGCAAATTCTCAGGCCCTACCCTAGACCTACTGAGTCAGAAACTCTGGGGATGGGAGCCAGAAATCTGAGTTTCGACAAGCCCTTTGGGTGATTCTGATGCATGCTGCAGTTGGAGAGTCACCAGTTGAAAGCATTGAAGAGTTCTTCCTAAGCCCTCACAGTGTTTCCCTAATTCTGAGCGCCCAAATATCATTTTCTCGGCCCTGACCATTTATAAGGGACAGTGTGATGTAACATAAGGGTAAGGGGTTTTAGTTTAGAGGGCCTGAGTTGTAAGAACTGGATGGCTCCCTACTGGGTGTGCATCCAAGCACAAGTCATAATAACTTATTACACTGTCATAGCTTACATTTCAAGGTGAAAATTTCTCTCTATCATTGAGCCCAAATACGACACTGGAAGGAAGTTTTAGCTAAGGTTACCCCAGATGTTTCATGGTTACACAAGAATACAAAACAAAACATGTTTTCCCCACAGAATGAAAACACAATATAAGTTTTCTTTAGCAGCTGTGGCTGGAGATTGCAAAATGGAATAGTCTGGCCACCCTCCAAGCCATTAGCACCCCCTCCCTTTCCCCCAAGGGTGAAAGACAATCAAGCCAAAGAGAAGGAAAAATACTCTGTTTTCAACTTCACAGCTAATACCCAGAAATGGAGCTGCTGGAGTATCTGGGATGTGTCAAAATAGAGATGACAGAGAGGAGTACAGAGCACCTCACCCCACAACCTCTAGATCAGACTAGTCCACTTTGAATGGCTCTCAGAGGCAGGACCCCAATATTCATCTCAAAGAAATGCGTGCCAAGATTGCAGGCATTGTGGTAGATGTGGTCGGGAAAATTGGGGAGCAAAAGTCTTTCCAGTGCCTTTCATATAGCACTCCAGCAATGATTGTCTTTTTCACCTGGATTTAATAATGCCCTCACTTCTGAGACTGTTTAGGACTGTTAGGCCCGTGGCATCTTCAGAAGAGTGCAGGGTGGGATGGTGGGAACAGCATAGATTTGGAGTCTGACAGCGTGAGGATAAATCTTTATGCACTTCCATATCCCAGCCATATAACCTTTAGCTAGTTACTTAATTTTGCTGAGCCTCAGTTTTCTAACAATACCTCACTGGGATCATTGTGACTTGGGACTGCTGCAAGGGTTAAATGAGGTCATAGGCCAAGTACACAGTAATTGCTCCAAAAATGGCCATTTCCGTCATGTCCTGGACAGTACTTTGGTGTCTTCTTCACCCTGATGTGAAGGACAGGAAAAATACTCTGTTGACGCTCAGAAGAAGAAAACAAATCTCATGATGCATTTCAAAACTTCTTCATAGGAAGTTCTTTTCTTCTCTATGCTCTTGTCTATCATTCTTTTGATACTTCGTGGTGAAGTATCACCTCTTTCTCTGGAGTGTGTTTGATATGAGGATTCCTGTCACAAAGGCGGGCCTATATGACTCAGCACGGGTCTCAACTGGACCTTCTTCCAAAGAGGGTGAATGGAATGAGAGAGCAGGCATTGAGATGTGCTGTCTTCCGCTTGGACCTTGATAGCCTTGGGCACTCGGCCTTCAGGAATCCGTTCCGATTAGCCTCCACCTGAGTTCTCTATAATCAGGTACCCAATGATACAATAAGTCCATTACCAAATCTTTAACCCCAAAGGCCAGACTTTGGGGTTAAATCTTTCCAAAGGCCAGACTTGGCCTTGAGTCGATCTGGAGTTCAGGCCGGGTTCAGAATTATACCTTATTTCAACTTCCCAACCCTAACCTCTCCTTGGCCAATCATTTAATGACCCTGGGGGATTCAAATCTGGAGAATAAGGCAAGGACTGAATGAAATTATTATGTTAATTTCTGTCCAGTTTAATTAAATATTTTCTTAAGGTGTGATTGATTTCCTTAGGACCTTGGTATATGGTCCAGTGCTGCTTAGCCAATGGATTAAGTATCTCCAGATTCCCAGATATTTTTCTACCCTTATCTGTATCCCCTCACTGCATGAAGACCCTGAGGACTTAGAAGTTAAGGTCTTAATTTGATCTTGAAGATGATTTAAACTTCTGGAGTCTCATCCGTAAGGCCAGAACAGTTGCACAGAATGCTTGTTAAGATTTCTATGCAGGAACATAACCTAACAATACTCAGTGATCAGGGGTATGGAAATTACCAGTAGGCTGCAGCCTTACTATTTCAACATGTCTTAGTGGCCGGATGTGGTCACTCACACCTGTAATCCCAGCACTTGGGGAGTCTG